TCATGAAAGCAAAGCAATATAGCTACAATCATTCACATTCATGTTTTTTTTTTGGGGGGGGGGTTATATATAATTTTCCAGTACTTTCATATAGAAAGTTACTTATATACTTAGTTGATGCACTGAATCACTTAGCAACATGACAGCATAACCTCTAAAATATAGATGACTTTTTCAAATAACATAAATTAATCTTAAGTTGAGAGTGCTAAAAACACGCCAGGTTTCCAGTAAATTATGAATGCTACCTAGGTAAATTCACCTCTACCACAAGCTGAATAATTTCATAATTGTCAGGAAAATAATAATTGACATTCAGGTTGACAGTGTGTGCTTCTCGAGTTTCATTTTTGTGTTACAAAATTTGGTTGTGTGTTTATGGGAGCTAAAACGAACTGGTTAATGGTGGACTTGTGAAGACACTTTGCAGAGAGGTGCAGTGTTTATAATGTGAACTTCCTGATTGGTTGGCTGTGGAGTAGTAGTATCCTGTTGTTATTAAATACTGCTCAACGGATTCCAAAATCACAACTTCTTAACAAATTCCAGCTTCTGTGAAGAAAAGTGACCCTCAAATAGCAATACTAATGACAGCTTCCATGAGGATTTAGGGGAGACATATCTGTGCAGTGATATAAACCGTTACATCATGGACTTAACTCACGCTGCAGTGGCCCAGCAGACTCAACATCATTCCTGATACCAAGTTTCAAGAGGAGACTGCCAGTCCTACGTGTTTGTTTTCATGGGTTAGGACGAGGCATTGTGCTGTGCTGTGCTGTGCTGTGCTGTGCTGTGCTGTGTTGTGTTGTGTTGTGCGTGTGTGATCACAACGACCCGCTGAGTATTCATTGATACAGTGATGTGCCATATCCATCAATTTTGTCAACGGCTGAAACATTCTGGAGGAGACAGCAGTGACCATCCAGAGCAGACTTCGAAGCAGGGACCCTGGCAAGAGGAGCTCCGCACAAAATGTATCGTTAAAACCAAAACAGTGTCAGTTGAACCTTTAGAGATTGAGGGCCGGTTCAGTACGGCCCCAGGCTGGTCATGATAATAACATAGCACCATGCCAGGCAACTCTGTATTTGCTGTGGTAGCCGCCATAACTCAGGGCTTAGGTTAAGGTCGAGTCTACAACCCTGTGGAAAGAGTATTTTATTTTTTTTAGTTTGTAAGTTCTTGTCCTCCTGCCCTCCCCATTAGGTGCCCCCGATAGGATTTCCGGTTAGGCTGCGTGAATTTAGGATTTGTGTGTGGGTAGTTTTAAGCATTTTTCTGTGTGTTTTTGTGTGTATTTTTTTATACCACAGGGTGTGGCTTGACAGGGTAAGGCTGGCACGACAGTGAAGTCAATGTGAGAGGGAGAGAGATAAAAAGAACTTTAACAGACTCACCCTGTGAATAACTCACATTGGATGGATAAAGATTCAAGGAAACAAAACTTCATTTTGTTTCGATCAGTCTTTCACTTCAGTGTTGAGAGATAAGTGACTGAACCTATATGAGTATCTTAAATATATATTGATATATAAAATGTGTCATTTCATATTTATTTGTTTGTACTGTGGTGTGAATTCTCTTTATGAAATATTATAGCGAGGAAACTCATAAGGTGAGTCAATAAAATGTGCTCCAGCTTCAGCGTTGGACAAGACGTCGACTGTCAACATGAGGGTGTGCATAAGGTAAGTCCAATGCACAATCCTGCAGCTTCAGCATCGAAGGAAGGCATCGCTTGTCATCATGCAGAAACAAACAAGGTGGGTCAGTGCTGTAACGCGGTCAAGCACTGTACATTGTCACGTGTTGAGAAACTAAGGCGAATCTATGACATCTACATTTCACGCGTCACTAAGAATGGCCGAGCTGCGGTTTTAATACGAATCTTACGTAAATGAAAACTGAACTGACGTAATAAATAATTTGTGTTTGAAGGAATGAATATTCTTACTACGAGCATTTTGCAAAGCCTCAGGAGGAATTTTGCTGATTTCTGATTTCCGATATTATTGGAGCATCGTACATACACAATGAATTTTATTTTTGTCTTCAACAAAAGAACTTCTCAGCGATTTAGTTTATC